ATAATGTCGTGACTAGCACTGTATATACAGTGGACCCTTGGTTATCGGCCAATTCAGTTTTCACCCACTTTTCTGGCTGAAATTCTGTTCCGTATCGGCCGTTATTTCGGTTGTTGGCTGTATTGGACATGTCCACCCGCCATGTTCGTGAGTCAGTCTGGCTGTGTATCTGGGTGAGTGAGGAAGCCTTTGTGCAGTCATCCAGACATTTTGTTATAATCCATTGTTTTTTGTGGTTATTAATTGAGTGCAACTACGAAATAAGCAATCATGGGCACAAAGAAAGTTCCTAGTAAAGTTCCTTTGGTAAAGAAAGTGAGAAACACAATAGAATTCAAGGCAGGCAGGCATAGAGGCAAGGAGTGTAGCAGGCATGCAGGGAGTGTAACAGGAAAACACGGAGTGCAGCAGGCATGCAGTTAGTGTGGAAGGATGGCAGGAAGTGCAGTAGGAAGGCAGGGAGTGTAGCAGGAAGGCAGGGAGTGTAGAAGGCATGCAGGGAGTGCAGCAGGGATGCAGGGAGTGTAGCAGGAAGGCAGGGAGTGTAGCAGGATGGCAGGGAGTGCAGCAGGCATGCAGGGAGTGTAGTAAGAAGGCAGGGAGTGTAGCAGGAAGGCAGGGAGTGTAGCAGTCGTGCAGGGAGTGTAGCAGGCAGGGAGGGAGTGTAGCAGGGAGGCAGGGAATGTAGCAGGCAGGCAGGGAGTGGACAATTTTTTTGTGCAACAGGGGTGCAGTGATTCTCAAGCTGGTTCTAGTGGCAGTAAAAGACAAAGAAGGGAAGTAACCCCTCCTTGCGTTCTTCCATATACCAGCAAGAGTCTTCACATAAAGTATGCAATATTCATTTATTAGTAAAATTAGTGCTATATATTTCTTTCTCATTGTTTTATGTAAAACTATAGTTAATCTTTAAAAAATTTATTTTTTGTTAAGAGGAATTAGACAAGAACAAGAACTAGAAAGAAAATAGAAGAAAACCCAGATGGGTATGTATATATATACTTGTACATGTATGTACATGTACATGTATATGTTCATGTACATGTATATGTACATGTACATGTATATGTACATGTATGCACATACAGTATATGGTAGTAGGTTGGTAGACAGCAACCACCCAGGGAGGTACTACCGTCCTGCCAAGTGAGTGTAAAACGAAAGCCTGTAATTGTTTTACATGATGTTAGGATTGCTGGTGTCTTTTGTCTGTCTCATAAATATGCAAGATTACAGGTATGTCTTGCTACTTCTACTTACACTTAGGTCACACTACACATACATGTACACGTTTATTTATACACACTCATCTGAGTTTTCTTTGATTTTATCTTAATAGTTCTTGGTCTTATTACTTTTCCTTTTATATCCATGGGGAAGTGGAATAAGAATCTTTCCTCCGTAAGCCATGCATGTTGTAAAAGTCAACTAAAATGCCAGGAACAATGGGCTAGTAACCCCTTTTCCTGTAAAGATTACTAAAAAGAATAATAAGAAGAAAATTGTCAAAATGGGAAGTCTGAATGTGCGTGGATGTTGTGCAAATAATAAGAAAGAGATGATTGTGGATGTTATGAATGAGAAGAAGCTGGATGTCCTGGCTTTAAGTGAAACAAAGCTGAAGGGGGTGGGAGAGTTTCAGTGGAGAGGAATAAATGGGATTAGGTCAGGGGTTTCAAATAGAGTTAGAGCTAAAGAAGGAGTAGCAATAATGTTGAAGGATAAGATATGGCAGGAAAAGTGGGACTATAAATGTATTAATTCAAGGATTATGTGGAGTAAAATAAAGGTTGGATGTGAAAAGTGGGTTATAGTAAGTGTATATGCACCTGGAGAAGAGAAGTGTAGAGGAGAGAGAGAGATTTTGGGAAATGTTGAGTGAATGCATGGGGAGTTTTGAACCAAGTGTGAGAGTACTTGTGGTTGGGGATTTCAATGCTAAAGTGGGTAAAAATGTTGTGGAAGGAGTAGTAGGTAAATTTGGGGTGCCAGGGGTAAATGTAAATGGGGAGCCTTTAATTGAGCTATGTGTAGAAAGAGATTTGGTAATAAGTAATACATATTTTATGAAAAAGATGATAAATAAATATACAAGGTATGATGTAGCAGGTAATGAAAGTAGTTTGTTAGATTATGTATTGGTGGATAAAAGGTTGATGGGTAGGCTCCAGGATGTACATGTTTATAGAGGGGCAACTGATATATCGGATCATTATTTAGTTGTAGCTACAGTTAGAGTAAGAGGTAGATGGGACAAGAGGAACATGGCAACAACAAGTAGGAGGGAAGTGAAAGTGTATAAACTAAGGGAGGAGGAAGTTCAGGTGAGATATAAGCAGCTATTGGCAGAAAGGTGGGCTAGTGCAAAGATGAGTAGTGGGGGGGTTGAAGAGGGTTGGATGAGTTTTAAGAATGCAGTATTAGAATGTGGGGCAGAAGTTTGTGGTTATAGGAGGGTGGGGGCAGGAGGAAAGAGGAGTGATTGGTGGAATGATGAAGTACAGGGTGTGATAAAAGAGAAAAAGTTAGCTTATGAGAGGTTTTTACAAAGCAGAAGTGTTATAAGAAGAGCAGAGTATATGGAGAGTAAAAGAAAGGTGAAGAGAGTGGTGAGAGAGTGCAAAACGAGAACAGATGATAGAGTGGGAGAGGCACTGTCAAGAAATTTTGGAGTGAGTTAAACAAGTTAAGAAAGCCTAGGGAATGTATGGATTTGTCAGTTAAAAACAGAGTAGGGGAGTTAGCAGATGGTGAGAGGAAGGTATTAGGTAGATGGCGAGAATATTTTGAGGAACTTTTAAATGTTGATGAAGAAAGGGAGCCGGTAATTTCATGCACTGGCCAGGGAGGTATACCATCTTTTAGGAGTGAAGAAGAGCAGAATGTAAGTGTGGGGGAGGTACATGAGGCATTATGTAGAATGAAAGGGGGTAAAGAAGCTGGAACTGATGGGATCATGACAGAAATGTTAAAAGCAGGGGGGGATGTAGTGTTGGAGTGGTTGGTACTTCTGTTTAATAAATGTATGAAAGAGGGGAAGGTACCTAGGGATTGGCGGAGAGCATGTATAGTCCCTTTATATAAAGGGAAGGGGGACAAAAGAGATTGTAAAAGTTATAGAGGAATAAGTTTACTGAGTATACCAGGAAAAGTGTATGGTAGGGTCATAATTGAAAGAATTAGAGGTAAGACAGAATGTAGGATTGCGGATGAGCAAGGAGGTTTCAGAGTGGGTAGGGGATGTGTAGATCAAGTAGATCATTGAAGCATATATGTGAACAGTATTTAGATAAAGGTAGGGAAGTTTTTATTGCATTTATGGATTTAGAAAAGGCATTTGATAGAGTGGATAGGGGAGCAATGTGGCAGATGTTACAAGTACTTATATGGAATAGGTGGTAAGTTACTAAATGCTGTAAAGAGTTTTTATGAGGATAGTGAGGCTCAGGTTAGAGTGTGCAGAAGAGAGGGAGACTACTTCCTGGTAAAAGTAGGTCTTAGACAGGGATGTGCAGTGTCACCATGGTTGTTTAATATATTTATAGATGGAGTTGTAAAAGAAGTAAATGCTAGGGTGTTCGGGAGAGGGGTGGGATTAAATTATGGGGAATCAAATACAAAATGGGAATTGACACAGTTACTTTTTGCTAATGATACTCTGTTTATGGGAGATTCTAAAGAAAAATTACAAAGGTTAGTGGATGAGTTTGGGAGTGTGTGTAAAGGTAGAAAGTTGAAAATGAACATAGAAAGAAGTAAGGAGATGAGGGTATCAAATGATTTAGATAAAGAAATATTGGATATCAAATTGGAGAGGAGGAGTATGGAAGAAGTGAATGTTTTCAGATACTTGGGAGTTGACGTGTCGGTGGATGGATTTATGAAGGATGAGGTTAATCATAGAATTGATCAGGGAAAAAAGGTGAGTGGTGCATTGAGGTACATGTGGAGTCAAAAAACATTTTCTGTGGAGGCAAAGAAGGGAATGTATAAAAGTATAGTAGTACCAACACTCTTATATGGGTGTGAAGCTTGGGTTGTGAATGCAGCAGCGAGGAGGCGGTTGGAGGCAGTGGAAATGTCCTGTCTAAGGGCAATGTGCGGTGTAAATATTATGCAGAAAATTTGGAGTGTGGAAATTAGGAGAAGGTGTGGAGTTAATAAAAGTATTAGTCAGAGGGCTGAAGAGGGGTTGTTGAGGTGGTTTGGTCATTTAGAGAGAATGGATCAAAGTAGAATGACATGGAGAGCATTTAAATCTGTAGGAGAAGGAAGGTGGGAGTAGGGCTCCCCCTCAAAAAGGTTGGAAGGAAGCGGTAAGGGAGGTTTTGTGGGCGAGGGGCTTAGACTTACAGCAGGCGTGCATGAGCCTGTTCAATAGGAGTGAATGGAGACAAATGGTATTTGGGACCTGACAATCTGTTGGAGTGTGAACAGGGTAATATTTAGTGAAGGGATTCAGGGAAACTGTTTATTTTTATATAGCCAGACTTGAGTCCTGGAAATGGGAAGTACAATGCCTGCAGTCTAAAGGAGGGGTTTTGGGATATCGGCAGTTTTGAGGGATATGTTGTGTATCTTTATACATATATGCTTCTAAACTGTTGTGTTCTGAGCATCTCTGCAAAAACAGTGATTAGGTGTGAGTGAGGTGAAAGTGTTGAATGATGATGAAAGTATTTTCTTTTTGGGGATCTTCTTTCTTTTTGGGTCACCCTGTCTTGGTGGGAGACGGCTGACTTGTTGAAAAAACAAAAACAAAAAAAAACATGTATGTGTAGTGTGACCTAAGTGTAAGTAGAAGTAGCAAGACGTACCTGAAATCTTGCATGTTTATGAGACAGAAAAATGGACACCAGCAATCCTAACATCATGTAAAACAATTACAGGCGTTCGTTTTACACTCACTTGGCAGGATGGTAGTACCTCCCTGGGCGGCTGCTGTCTACCAACCTACTACCTAGATATATGTATATATTTAAATATATGTTCTTTTTCAGTACAAAGGAAGCAAAAGATGAAATAAAAAATCAAAGGCGAAACCTCTTGCCCCTGATCATTAGTGAGGGAGGTGAAGATCACTTGTCGTCTGTCTCATCCTCGGTAAGCTTATCCTACAATCTCTTGCTGGTTTAACAAAAGTATATCCTTCTCACTTTACAGCTGTTTCTGTACTTTATATATCCTGTCTCTCTAGAACATTTGCTCATAAGTTATCTCCTAAGCTCACCTTTCACTTGCCCAATTTTCACATGCATGTTTCTGATACTTTTATTACTTTTTGTACTTTGTAAATATGCTTTTTTTAAACATATATTTTTATAGCTTTTCTTCTACTACTGTCATGTGCTGTATAAGTTTGATATAGAGGAAGCAGTTTGTAGCTGGTTCACTTTTTTTATAGATTTGTACTTCAATTTTTTTAAATAATTTGACAGTTTTATTTGAATTCTTGTCCAGTTTTCACTACAAAAGTATAAAAATATTGATAAGAGATATATGCTGTATAAATTTTTAAGGTTTTTCTGCATATATATGATATATGTAAAAAATTCTTTATTACTGGTAAAAAATTTTGAACAGCATCATGAATGTTTTTGACTTTTTGAATATTTTCTTATTTTTATACAGATACCTTCAGAACTAATAGCAGTGTTGAAAGAAAGAATGAATCCAGAAAACATACAGAAAATTATTGATAGTATTGATCCTGATCTCAATATAAAGTCTTCCATTGATACAATGGCATCCCAGGACACTTCATTTTCTCCTAAAATTACCCCAGGAAGAATTATTGAATCTTTTTCTACCCAGGTAGTAACAAATATAGAAGATGTGCAACTTACAGATAATAGAAAAGGCTGCTCTAATAGTAAGAATATTGTACCACAAAATGAAATACAAAAATCACAAACTGTAGCTGAGGATATCACATGGTTACAAGTAGCAAGGAAACGAGGGTCAGATGAAGACCTGTGCAATGTACCACTTAAGAAGTTGAGTTCAGAGCCAGTATCAACACCAGCAAGATGTCAGTCTGCTAATACATCACACAGCACACAAGTTATTATTGACCATGACTTGAATTTTGATTACACAAGCTCGAGTTTATTTACATCACTAGTACATGATCAGTGCTCCATCCAGCCAATACATAATACCCTGCAAGAAAACATTACTGATCTCTCATTACCAGTAGATATTGAGACAAAAGTCAGTGGTAGTATGATGGATACCCAGACTCAGCCGAACATAGTTTCCACTTGCAATGCAAATTATGATCTTCAAGTTGAGTACAACAGTGAAATCTCTTCAACTATTCCCCAACAGTTTAGAAATTTTGCAACTGAATCTACAGACAGTTACCAACCATTCAATACTGGCATTATGACCAATGCCAATGACAGTTCTATGAACTGTAGCAATAATATTCAAATTAATGATCGAAATTATAGATATGAAGGTGTACCATCAGAATTTAACAATCAGAGGAGTTCCCCTTTAAATAAAAGCACTAATTTAATTCAGCATCAGAATGGGAATGAAATAGTATCTTCATCTAACCAGGATTTACCTATGATTGGTCAAAGTCAAGTTTATTCTCAGAGTGTGATTTCCCCTGAGCACCTTACCCAGCACCCAGATGAATACCACCTCTTGTATAATCAAAAGCTTGTGCCTCTTCAAAAAAATATTTGTTCAGATCAGATGAACAATTTGCAGTCCTCACAGTTGGTAGAAGTAGGAGGAAATATCCCAAGACAGCAGCAGGAAAGACCACATATGAAAGAGTGCCATCATCACCAGCCATCTCCCTATCATCAATATCAAAACAAAGTACAAAAACCAAATGATCAACAAAATCAAAAGCCATATCAAAGCCATCAACTACATGAATGTAATTTACAACAACAGCACCATTTGCAGCAAATGCAGCACATACATGAGCAGTGTGAACATCAAGAACAGCAGCATGATTTTTTTCCCCACCAAGGGCAGCAACACTGTGAACAATGTCATCAAAAGCAGCTTCATGAAAAAGTTTTCCACCAAAGGCAGCAACAGCAGGAGCTGTATCAGCAACAAAGACAGCAACCATGTGATGATCAGTATTTGCAACAAGACCATAAACAGCATGAACAATATTATCAACATAAACAGCATGAACAAATGTTGCTACAAGGTCTTCAACAACAGCCTTTACAACAGGGACATCAGCTGCAATGTGAGCCACATCTGCAAGAAAGACAAGAGCAGCAGCATTTGCAGCAGAAACAGAAACAGCATGAACATTATTTACAACAAAGACAGGAACAACAGTGCCTGCATCAAGTACAGCAACAAAATTTTGAAAGCAATGTACATTATGAAGAGAACTATCACCAGCAGCAGACTGAACAGCACCTGCAGTTAAAACATCATCCAGACCAGTGGCAGAGAGACTGTCATTTAAACCAAACACCAGAAATAAGAAAAAGCTTTAAAGGACCTCCAGTCATTTTCACACATTGCTCAACTTCATCAGTAACACAGCAAGGTAATTTTGTAATCATGAGGTTTATGTTGCTGTATATTTCTTCACCAGTTTGGTATGTAATTCATGGACAATACAGTAAATTAAGTGTATTCATAGTGTTGCACTTCCTGAACCTGTTAAACCAGCCTTGCTTAACAATGAAAGTTTCCATTATTTAATTTTTTCCTTGCTTTATCATTATATAATATATATATATATATATATATATATATATATATATATATATATATATATATATAATATATATATATATATATATATATATATATATATATATATATATATATATGTATATATTATATATATATATATTATATATATATATATATAATATATATATATATTATATATATATATATATATATATATATATGTATGTATGTATATATATATATATATATATATATATATATATATATTATATATATATAATATATATATATATATTATATATATATATATATATATATATACTGAGTTCTTTCTGTTGGAATACAGTACTTTATTCCCTGATTCAGAGGTATATTTCCTTAATTTTCATGTTTGCCCACACACAGTGAGGTGCTATCAGAAACTTCCTAAACTCAAATTTTTGCATTTTTCCTGGGTGAAACAATAGAGCCTCTCCTCACTTAACCCTTAAACTGTCCAAACGTAGATCTACGTTTACATGCATAGCACTCTGACCTTTATTTTCTCCATTTGAAAGCATGTAAAAAAAAAAAACGTAGATCTACGTTTGGAGCGCTATGCATGTGAATGTAGATTTACGTTCACGAATTCATTTACCTCGTTGGTAAATGAATTCGTCGCTAAGTGAGGAGCCTACTATAATGGCAGTGGGTTTGTGTCAGCCATCTTTGATATTGTTTTAATGTCACCTTTGCACCATTTATAACATTTCTGGTATATTTTTAAATATTTAGTAGGTTGGTAGACAGCAACCACCCACGTAGGATTGCTAGTGTCTTTTGTCTGTCTCATAAATATGCAAGATTACAGGTACATCTTGCTACTGCTACTTACCCTTAGGTCACACTACACGTACATGTACACGTTTATTTATACACATTCATCTGAGTTTTCTTTGATTTTATATTAATAGTTCTTGTTCTTATTACTTTTCCTTTTATATCAATGGGGAAGTGGAATAAGAATCTTTCCTCCGTAAGCCATGCGTGTTGTGAAAGTCAACTAAAATGCCGGAAACAATGGGCTAGTAACCCCTTTTCCTGTAATAATTACTAAAAAGAAGAAGAAGAAAATTGTCAAAGTGGGATGTCTGAATGTGCATGGATGTTGTGCGAATGATAAGAAAGTATGGTTTGTTTGCAATCGTGTCATTACGATTTCGTGAGTCATAAGAAAGAGATGATTGTGGATGCTATGAATGAGAAGAAGCTGGATGTCCTGGCGTTAAGTGAAACAAAGCTGAAGGGGGTGGGAGAGTTTCAGTGGAGAGAAGTAAATGGGATTAAGTCAAGGGTTTCAAATAGAGTTAGAGCTAAACAAGGAGTAGCAATAATGTTGAAGGATAAGCTATGGCAGGAAAAGAGGGAGTATAAATGTATTAATTCAAGGATTATGTGGACACGGGGGTCGTCCCACAGTTACTAAAAACAACAGACATAGCCCCACTCCACAAAGGGGGCAGTAAAGCAATAGCAAAGAACTACAGACCAATAGCACTAACATCCCATATCATAAAAATCTTTGAAAGGGTCCTAAGAAGCAAGATCGCCACCTCTCTAGATACCCATCAATTACACAACTCAGGGCAACAAGGGTTTAGAGCAGGTCGCTCCTGTCTGTCCCAACTACTGGATCACTACGACAAGGTCCTAGATGCACTAGAAGACAAAAAGAATGCAGATGTAATATATAACAGACTTTGTAAAAGCCTTCGACAAGTATGACCATGGCGTAATAGTGCACAAAATGCGTGCTAAAGGAATAACAGGAAAAGTTGGTAGATGGATCTATAATTTCCTCACAAACAGAACACAAAGAGCAGTAGTCAACAGAGTAAAGTCTGAGGCGGCTACAGTGAAAAGCTCTGTTCCACAAGGCACAGTACTCACTCCCATCTTGTTTCTCATCCTCATATCTGACATAGACACGGATGTCAGCCACAGCACCGTGTCTTCCTTTGCAGATGACACCCGAATCTGCATGACAGTATCTTCCATTGCAGACACTGCAAGGCTCCAGGTGGAAATCAACCAAATCTTTCAGTGGGCTGCAGAAAACAATATGAAGTTCAACGATGAGAAATTTCAATTACAGTGGACCCTCGACTAACAATATTAATTGGTACCCGAGAATGAATATCGTTAGTCGAGTTTTTTAGCGTTAGTCAAGGCAAAATGTTAGCATTAAAATGTATCGCTAGCCGGATTTAACGTTAGATGATGCCATCGTTGGTCGAGGGTCCACTGTACTTCGATATGGTGAACATGAGGAAATTAAAACTTCATAAGAGTACAAAACAAATTCCAGCCACAAAATAGAGCGAAAAACCAACATCAAAGACCTGGGAGTGATCATGTCAAAGGATGTCATCCTTCAAGGACCATAACATTGTATCAATCGCATCTGCTAGAAAAATGACAGGATGGATAATGAGAACATTCAAAACTAGGGATGCCAAGCCCATGATGACACTCTTCATGTCGCTTGTTCTATCTAGGCTGGAATATTGCGGCACACTAACAGCAGCTTTCAAGGCATGTGAAATTGCTGACATAGAAAATGTACAGAGAACCTTCATGGCGCGCATAACGGGGATAAAACACCTCAGTTACTTGAAGCACTTGAAGTTCCTGAACGTGTACTCCTTGGAATGCAGGCAGGAGAGATACATGATTATATACACCTGGAAAATCCTAGATGGACTAGTACCGAACTTGCACATGAAAATCACTCACAACGAAAGCAAAAGACTCAGCAGATGATGCAACATCCCCCCAGTGAAAAGCAGGTGTGTCACTAGCACGTTAAGAGACAATACAATAAGTGTCAGGGGCCCCGAGACTGTTCAACTGCCTCCCAGCATACATAAGGGGGATTACCAATAGACCCCTAGCTGTCTTCAAGCAGGCATTGGACAAGCACCTAAAGTCGGTACCTGACCAGCCGGGCTGTGGCTCGTACATTGGATTGCGTGCAGCCAGCAGTAACAGCCTGGTTGATCAGGCTCTGATCCACCAGGAGGCCTGGTCACAGACTGGGTCATGGGGGTGTTGACCCCCTGAACACTCTCCAGGTAATCTCCAGTAAAATAAATGTTGGATGTGAAATGTGGGTCATAGTAAGTGTATATGCACCTGGAGAAGAGAGAAGTGTAGAGGAGAGACAGAGGTTTTAGAAATTGTTGAGTGAGTGTGTGAGGAGTTTTCAACCAAGTGGTTGGGGATTTCAATGCTGAAGTGGGTAAAAATGTTGTGGAAGGAGTAGTAGGTAAATTTGGGGTGCCAGGGGTAAATGTAAATGGGGAGCCTTTAATTGAGCTATGTGTAGAAAGAGATTTGGTAATAAGTAATACATATTTTACGAAAAAGAGGATGAATGAATATATAAGGTATGATATAGTACGTAATGAAAGTAGCTTGTTAGATTATGTATTGGTGGATAAAAGGTTAATGGGTAGACTCCAGGATGTACTTGTTCATAGAGGAGCATCTGATATATCGAATCATTATTTAGTTGTAGCTACAGTTATAGTAAGAGGTAGATGGGATAAAAGGAAAATGGCAACAACAAGTAAGAGGGAGGTGAACGTGTATAAATTAAGGGAGGAAGAAGTTCGGGTGAGATATTAGCAACTCTTGGCAGAAAGGTGGGCTGGTGCAAGTATGAGTAGTGGGGAAGGGGGGTTGAAGAGGGTTGGAATAGTTTTAAAAATGCAGTATTAGAATGTGGGGCAGAAGTTTTTGGTTATAGTAGTGTGGGTGCAGGAGGAAAGAGGAGTGATTGGTGGAATGATGAAGTAAAGGGTGTGATAAAAGAGAAAAAAGGTAGCATATGAGAGGTTTTTATAAAGCAGAAGTGTAATAAGAAGAGCAGAGTATATGGAGAGTAAAAGAAAAGTGAAGAGAGTGGCGAGAGTGTAAAAGGAGAGCAGATGACAGAGTGACAGAGGCACTGTCAAGAAATTTTGATGAAAATAAGAAAAAAATTGAAGTGAGATAAAGAAGTTAAGAAAGACTAGGGCACAAATGGATTTGTCAGTTAAAAACAGAGTAGGGGAGTTAGTAGATGGGGAGATGGAGGTATTGGGTAGATAGCAGGAATATTTTGAAGAACTTTTAAATGTCGACGAAGAAAGGGAGGCGGTAATTTCATGTATTGGCCAGGGAGGTATACCATCTTTTAGTTGTGAAGAAGAGCAGGATGTGAGTGTGGGGGAGGGGAGGTGCGTGCGGCATTACGTAGAATGAAAGGGGGTAAAGCACCTGGAACTGACGGGATCATGACAGAAATGTTAAAAGCAGTGGGGGGATATAGTGTTGGAGTTGTTAGTATTTTTGTTTAATAAATGTATGAAAGAGGGGAAGGTAACTAGGGATTGGCAGAGAGCATGTATAATTCCTTTATATAATGGGAAGGGAGACAAAAGAGATTGTAAAAATTATAGAGGAATAAGTTTACTGAGTATACCAGGAAAAGTGTATGGTAGGGTTATTATTGAAAGAATTAGAGGCAAGACAGAATGTAGGATTGCAGATGAGCAAGGAGGTTTTAAAGTGGGTAGGGGATGTGTAGATCAAGTGTTTACATTGAAGCATATATGCGAACAGTATTTAGATAAAGGTAGGGAAGTTTTCATTGCATTTATGGATTTAGAAATGGCATATGATAGACTGGATAGGGGAGCAATGTGGCAGATGCTGCTAGTACGTATATGGAATAGGTATTAAGTTACTAAATGCTGTAAAGAGTTTTCATGAGGATAGTGAGGCTCAGGTTAGGGTGTGTAGAAGAGAGGGAGACTACTTCTC